GGGGCGGGGCGGGGCGGGGCTGGAGCATCCTGTCCTGCATCCACCCGCCGCGGCCGCCACGCCCCTCCCAGCCCAATTAGCCGCACTCGGCCCGACCCGCTATGCTCCCCGTTGACAAAGGGCCACATGGCTCCACATTGGTCCACGGCCCAGCTTCCGCTCCACTGGCTGCCAGACGGACCGCGATGCATGGCGTCAATCATCGGGCACCCCCCTCCGCCCCCTCGACCTCGGCTCTACACAAGTCACCAGGACGTCGTCGTCATTGTGGTGGATAGCTCACTTACTTATCCACCCATCCACCAAAGCACGAGTTTTTAGAGCGAATCCGTATTTCGCGAGTTGAATCGTAAACATGCAAAACCGCGGCACGCTCTTCTTATTGGCCGCGCTGTCCAAATCCACAAGTCAGCATGTCTGCAGAGTGCACGGCCCTGACCTCGGCGATAGGGAAACCAGCGCTTCGCGCGCTGAATCCAATCGAACTGCCAATCTCGTCCACTGACCGGAACAAGTCGCCACCGCCACTGCGCCTGCCCCCGCCGCCACCGCCTCGTCCCACAAGAATAGATTTGATAGAGGTCCAACGCTTTTAGGGGGAATTCCACTTCGACTCCACTATCCACCTCGGGGTTGCTGGGCACACCCTGTCACATAGCCATCTCAGTGAGCAATAGCCACATGGATTCAACGCCGAACCGACGTCGGAATATTAAAAAAACGTGGATTTGGGGGACAAAGAACCGACGTTGAAGAAAATTCATTTTTTACTGGGTGGGCATGTTAGTTTACCCTGTAAGCCAACAGTGTGTGACACAATCAGGAAAACGTTTTCTCGATATTTCAATGGGCTCGAGTCACTCAAGAAAAATATGCTCTTCTATCCTTTACAAGTGGAAAGTCATCGGGGTTTACTGCAAGTGTTCTGAAATCAAGTGCAACGTTTATGAGTAAATCGAAAACACTGATTGAAGAATCGAGATCACGTTTCCCAGAGTGCGAGGTGTGCGAACAGGGCGCTCCACTGCAGCACGAGCACGACCGAACGACCGTTTCCGAAGGAGCACCGGCCGCAGTGCGGGAGGACTCGGCCATCGCCGTCCAACTGGACCGGGCCGGGGAGGGGAGCTGCGGGGTGCTCGTGGGGCGGCCGGCGCGGTGGCTGCGGCTGCGGCCGCGGCTAAAGGAGAGCGTGCCGTTTGGTGTAACCTTCCTCTTGACCTGCGTGTGCGCATCGCACTGCTGTGTGTACAGGGTGGTCCACTGACCCCTTCCTTTATTTTGCTTACACTGTACTGCCTGTACCGGATGCAGGCGTGTGGCCAGGTTGCATACTCGCACGGGGCCATAAGGCGAAGCTGCAGTGAGCGACGGTAGGCAAGCCCGACCGCACGGTTTTATGCGGTACAGTATAAGCAAAATAAAGGAAGGGATCTGTGGACCACGCTGTTTACTCTACAAAGAGCAGTGAGTGGCGGTGACATTCACAAGCACTGAGAAGTAGTGCTTGCCAAATATCAACCACTAAAGACTGTGTAACATTCGTGTTCCGCATGTGCTTGACATGCGGGACATGCCATTCATAGAAAATTGTGTGAATAATGAAGAAAAACTTTTAGTCGTCCGCACATTGTTGTCCTACACACTTTTGTGCAACTCATTGTGGCACGTTTCGTGTTTTTATTTTCACGCTCTACGGTTCAGCAGGTTTGCATACTCGAGTCGCATGGGCTAACGCGACTTAGGAATCGATCAGAGAGTATGTCCGTTTTTCTCAGATCCATTCGTAGAATGACGGGAGCTCGGCGCCTGCGATACTCAGGGTAGGCCACCCTACAGTACACGCATGCACTGCAGGCAACATGTTGCCTACCCATCGGGCGCTAGGAGAGCATGCATTGGCTTGCATGGGCATGGGCTGAACTTGGTAGACTCCTAATCAGAATGACAGACGTACTTCCTGGATGATCCGTTGCGGGCTGAGGGAGTGGGAAAACATAACACTCTAGCCTGTGGCACGTGCACAGAAACACGCGTTGTTAAGTGTTTGGATGCCACACACACTTACATAATGTGTGGAGTAGTTATCCTCCCCCCCCCCTTCCCCCCGGGTCCCCCGGCGGCGTAGTGGTGGTGCGGTCGAGTTTTTAAATGGACAAGCCTCGTAGCTTCGCGGCGCCCACTTTGCTGAAAACACAACTGCGGAACACGTGTAAACCCGTGTATACGCCGGCGCCGGCGTTAGTTCTAGTGGAATCAACAGATGCGCTATGCAAGCTCATACAGACTTAGATAAAAATGTTAGGTCTCTCGGCTAACTTTTAGCTTACACAGATTAGTTTCTTTTAAACAGAGCTAGGATAGTTAGATTTTTTTTCCTGAAGGGCAATTTCACTGATCCATTGTTTTCCTCGTTGGAGAGGCGGGCCCGCGGACACCATGGAGTGCACCCCCTGCCCCAGCTGCAGGCTCGCGGTCTCCAGCAGCACGGGCAGGCTCAGGTCAGGCACTGAAGTCGCTTCATTCGTGTCCTGTTTACACCCTTGTGTAACGCGCGTGGTGTGCGGCAGGTGGTGCGTGGCGGAGAAGGGCGGGCAGCGCCGCGTGCGGTGGGTGCTCACGGCCTCCGTTCTGCTGCTCGCGCTGGCCACAGTGGCCGCCGTGCTGGTCCTCAGGCTGGCGAGGGTGTGCGTCGAGAACGACGCCTCGGACGTCGAGGCCGATCCGGGTGTCACGTCGACGTCGGCTAACCGGAACAGAGGTGAGGGGGCGTGCCGCCCGAGGAGGACGGTGTGTCAGTTAGCTGATCACACAGATCAGGTCTGTTTCACACCACGCTCTCGTCGCAGCCCTGGACCGCTTCGAAACGGAGGGCGAGGAGGCGCGGGAGCGCGGCCCGCTGACGGAGTC